TCATCCTCCGACGGATCAAGAGCGAGGTCAGTTAATCTGAGAAAGTTGCACATTTGTACTGTACAAGTATTATGAGAATTTCAAGTATTTGGAATGAAAGCCTGCATTACAGCTTTCGTTTTTTTTGCCCAAGATGTGTGAAACTCTTAATAGTAATGAACTTCAAGTAATAATCGAGTTAGAATTAAATAAATATTCATACACTTTCTATGAAAATCCTTCTTGTCTGGAGTTGATCTTATTTAAATGACTATTGGGCTAAAAGATAAGCTTCCAGGAAAAACTAACAAACCGTTTTAATCATACACATTTACAGGGATTATATGTACTAATTAACTAATGGTGCTCCTTTTCCCCCCCCCAAGGTCCTTCAGCAGCTTCCAGCAAAGGAAGAGACTGTGGAGTTCTGCTCAATGAGTGAGAAGCAGCGGGGTCTGTACCAGAACCTCTTTCAAAAACTCAAATCCACCACGAATGGCGAAAGTAAGCCCCACATTAAATGAACTGGGTGGAATTAGAGCTCTTTAGTATAACTCGGGATACTATTTTACAGTAATATAGAACAATGTTTGATTAATAATTCTTGACATGCATCTTCTCTTCAGAGCGAGAGTTGTGTAATGTGATGATGCAGCTGAGGAAGATGGCCAACCACCCTCTGCTTCATAGACAGTACTACACCACTGAAAAACTAAAAGCCATGAGCAAGCTTATGCTCAAGGTGAGGATACTCCCCGACAACCACTGTTTGTGTTCTTTATTGTGTTTTGTTTGTCTTGTTGGCTGAATTATCGATTAGCTCATGCTAAGACAGTGAGCCCTCCGTCCACATTTCCGAAGAATCACTACTATGTTCTGGAGGACTCCTTGTTTTTGCACACAGTGATCACCTAATAAGTCTGTGCTGATAGTGTTCAAGTTCAATGTCACTTTTGGTGGTTTTCAAGGGAATTTGATTCTCATTAGTTCAATACAACCAATGACATGAAAACATCACTTTCTCTGCTTCACACATTACAACAACCTTTGAATCTTGAAGTTATTGACATTCTGGTTTTTCATTCTGTTATCCAGAAACGTCTTCAAGTTGTGATATTTAGCTTGCAGATTTGGCTCACAACACCAAACATTTAGATTTCTTTGCCATCATCATTTTTTGGATCCTGGTACGCTGTTGACTAGCTGAATGCTGGACTTTGATTTAGTACATTTTCATACATTTTGGGTCGTCTCTTTTTCTCTCTCCTCAGGAGCCAACACACTATGATGCAGATCCTGTTCTGATACAGGAGGACATGGAGGTGATGTCAGATTTTGAGCTGAATCGTCTGTGCCAGCAGTACTCCACTATCAGCTCCTACCAGCTTGAAAATGATCTCCTGCTTGACTCTGGAAAATTCCACCACCTTACAAAGCTGCTGGCCTCACTTAAAGAGAAGGTAGATAGAAATATACCGAACCATTTCGTTCTACGTTTTTGATTTTTGGAGCACAGGTTTAAGATTTTTTACAGCACAACCTTCCTGTCGTCATACAGGGGGACCGAGTGGTATTATTCAGTCAGTTCACCATGATGCTTGATATTGTGGAAGTGCTGCTGAAACATCTTATGCATCGTTACATCAGACTGGATGGATCCACACCCATAGCGGACAGGTGGGTTTCAAATATTGAAATAAGATCATTGTAGCTAACAAGGCATCAAGCATTTGATGTTATTAGGTCTAAATCTTTTCCTTTAAAATTATTTATTGGACTTCATTCTTGCAGTTCTCAGTCATATAGGTCATGCTTATCTAAGGAGCTTGGAAAGAAAAGCGACTAGACTTCTTTAAACTTCTTTTGAGTCACTTTTTTTCCCCAAGCTCCTTAGATTCTAGTTATATTCTATGTTCTGCAAACCAGTAGAATAAAATTGTAACGTGATTTAAATTTAATATCTAAAAGGTCACGTTGTGCACATGTGGATGTCTATACAGACACTTTGACTGGAACTTCAACAACATCAGATATTACATTACAGTAAAGGCACCTTAAATCCTGCAGAAGTGTTTGTTAAAGTTTAAGCTGTTTGAAAAGTTTAGCACATCTGTTATTCTAGCTGTTGCATCAGGTAAAAATGTGTCAAAATGGAACCAATGTCTGTTCAATTCAGCTTGTACCCACCTGTAGCTGTTAAATGGTTTTCTTTCTCCTTCAGGATTGTGTTGATTGATGAGTTCAACACAGACCCTGACATATTTGTGTTCCTGCTGTCAACCCGTGCTGGCGGCCTCGGCATAAACCTGACCTCAGCTAACGTTGTGATTCTACATGACATCGACTGCAATCCCTACAATGACAAACAAGCAGAGGATAGGTGTCACCGTGTGGGCCAGACCAGGTTAGATGGAATCTGTGTACGATCCTAGATGTATTTTACCCAACAATGTCTTGTGATTGTGCCTTATCATGTCAGTTACTGGGCAGAAAAGTGTTTTGCAATATCAATGCAGGTTCTGTTGGGAGGAAATTCTGTGGTTAGTATGGTTGCACACATGCAGTGTGTAGTGATGGATCTACTTCTGTGTATCAGAACTGTACAGGTGATTAAGCTGATCAGTAAGGACACTATAGAGGACTGCATCCTGCAACTGGGCAACAAGAAACTAAAGCTGGAGCAGGACATGATCTCATCTGAACAAAGTAAGGAGATATCTAAAGATATGTGCTGTACCTATTTTCACCGAAGGTTTCTCTAGTGGATAAATTCGATTAGATAAATGCATTTGTTTCGGTTTTTAAAATAAACATGAAAAAAATACTCAAAACATTAAAAAAAAGTAGTGAGGATTTCATTAAGAAGTTCTAACCTTTAAGGCCCAAAGTGTGCTTCTGTTCTTTTAAACATGGTCAGCTGCTTTCACAATAAACTCCTGCAAATTTTGTACGAGTACCAAATTTGTCAGAGAGATTATTGCCCCTCACTCACGTCTGTGCTCTGCAAGCAGACACTTTGAATTTTTATTTTAGCAAGTAATACTGTCTGGCCATCTGACACTTCTCTTTCTCTGTGTGAGCACCCGAATCGATACTCTATTTTTCTTCTTTCTGTCTTTGAGTGACATTTTTAAACACCACAGCCGCTATCTTTAACTTATGTGTACGACATATTTTTGTCAGATAAAGGTTGCAAGCCTCTGACTGCAGTGTCTACATCTGTAAATATTTGCTTTTGATTTCTGCTAAAACTCCAGCTGACTTTAAAACTGGGTCCACGTTTTATTGGGTTTTTCTGTTTGGAAAGTGCATGAATTCCAGGAGCAGTTATTGGATTAACCTGATTCTATTGTGAAAAATGTGGGAAATTGATTAACATTATTAGGCAGGTGAAGTGCAAACAATGAGGATTGAGAAGATAATCACAGGAAAATGTAGATATTTTTTGCAGTGTGTACCCTGCCTTTTGTTAACTGGAATAGCTAAGTTGGTTAGGATAATGCAAAAGTAATGCTAACAAATGATTTGTCCTTTAGGTGATGAGGGGACCATACCTGAGGATATGGCATCTTTGATCAAAGCCTCACTGGGACTGTGATACACAAACATGTGAAACTTGAAACTGTACAAATGCATTTGTATGGAGTCTCCTGAGATTTCGGGAAGACTTGAGTATTCTGACTGAGCTAACACCATTGTGTCTGTACTTGAGAACTGCTGTAAACCATAAACTGCCATGCAAACACTGAAATCCGATAGATCAGATTTACAGTGTGACATGGCAGCTGTGCCTAAAACAGTTTTTACATACGCACAGTTTTTGCTCTCACTTTGACTACACGACCAGTATAAACTGCATTTTAGCCTCTGCATTTTGTAAGTGTACCAAGCAGTAAAAACTTGAAAGAGTGTGATTTTTAAATCTTTAGTAATAAAAAGGTATTTAAAGTACACTATCACACTGGTCTGACAGAATTAAAGTGTCGTTTAAGTTTAAACATATGCAGTGTTGCACTGCTCCCATTCAGATAAAAGTAACATGGTGGTAAGGAGAATGATGCTTACTTGCCAAACTTTGATACAGGAAATATTTTAAAATCTAGGTCTTAAAGAAAAAGGTTCGAGCATGGAGAATGGTGGATATATCTTTACCCGCTGTTCCATACAGTGTTTGCGTGTTCAGAGAAATACAGTTCAAATAGCAAGTATACTGAAAATGTTGTTCACATAAATTCCTCTACCGTTTTTAAAATTTGTGGCTGCATCACATGCATATGGACTCTGTCAGTGTTAAGTGTAATGTCTTACATTTCATCCTGTTGTCATCTTCTAATTACATATTTAGGAAAGGCAGACTGCATCAAGCATACAGATATTTTAATTCTTATCCTGGTATGTAAGAAAAAAACTATGGTGCTTGAATTTCTTTCATAGCTGTTTCTACTCCTTTAATTATCGTGCCGAGAGAAGACTTTTCGATTTAAGGAAGCAGCTGCCGCATTCGTGTACTGTATAAGTAGATAATTTGTTGTTATTGTAAAAGTGTTACTGTAAAAGCTTTTACTAAGTCATGTGTATGTTTGTTTGTTTGTTTTTTAGTTTCTTGTTAAAACTGAATAATAAATATTGGAATAATTGTTTGTGTGGTGTCTATAACAGTGCACCAGTAGAGGGAGCCAATGACAATTTTTTAACTCTTATTATCAGAGATTACAAAGATCCTCCCAAAGGCCAGAGTTGGTAACGGTCTGTAGTAGTATACATTACTGAACTATAATTACATTTCCAATTTTTCATTTGGGGAAACGGTAAAAGATTCTTTGATTAATCTAATGAAAGAGTGCCAAAATAATCACAGAGCAATAATATAAGAAATTATTAATAAACTGAAATTGGGAGGTCTGATATTTTTTCAGAAAATAATTGTTTGTATAAGTGCGTATTGTTACCTTGTTGCTGATGTAGACAGTTCCAACAGGCTTAAGAAAAGTCAAGGGTACTTAAAAATGAAACTGGTAATGTCTTGATTCAATTGTTTTTTAATTTTGGTTTATACAAAAATGCTGCTGACATGTATATAGAAGACTAACAACAAGTAGTCTATCAAAATGTATCAATACAATATAATGTACAATTGCACACTTTATCATTCATTATATATGTATATCATTAGAATGCATTCATGTCAGATTAAAAAATTAGGAAAAAATTGTTCCTGTAAAAATGTGCTCAAATACCATTTTGGTGCACATTTTACCAAGTTGTTCTGCCATATAGGCAAATCACAAGAAGGACTTAATGTCTTGGAAAACAGAACCACCAAATGATTATATAGAGTACTGTGCAAAAGTCTTGAGCCATATCTAATTCCTTTTTGTTTCCAAGAGTTTATTGTAATTTTTAAAGTGTCTTTGTTTTTAGTTGGTCACTCATTTAAAGTCCAGTCCTTGTACCTTGTACCATGCAACACTGACCCATGGCTTATTCAAGCATAATAAAAAGCACCTATTCCAGTACTGTCTATGCACAGATAGCTCGGCAAAGAAACAGTTTTAAGTTAAAAACGGTTAAAACTTGACATATTTCAGCATGGTGTTCAGCGTGTCCTTAAAAATAGGAGGACTTAAATATGTCAAAGACCATAGATGGTATCTGAGAGAGAAATCTGCTTTTCCAGTTTATCCATCGACCAGTCACTGAAGCATCATCAGAAATGGTCTTAAGAGAAAAATGGCTGTCGAGGAGTGTTCAAGTAAGGGAAAGATAAAAGGCTGGGGCGTGGCCAATTACACAAGAACTGGACTGAAAATTAAAAGCAACAGGTCTTAACAGCCACAGCCATTGTAAGACATGGTTGAAACTGACTTGGTTTGGGGCTGCATTGGAACCAGTGGTTTTGGGAATCATCTGAATGGCCACAGCTTCATTTTTCAGCATGACAATATTCTATCCATGAATGCAGTAAAAGAATGCATGGATAGAAAAACACAAACGCTCAATCATAGATCAGAATCTGGACGTCAGCATTATTGTAGCAGTCTGGGGATCATCTTGACAGAGAACAAAGCAAAAAGTAGCCAACATACAAAGTACAGCATTGGAATGTCCTTCAAGAAGCCTGGAGATCTACTTCTGAAGGCTACTTAAAAAAAATGACAAGAAAGCTTGTCTAACAGAATTCAGTCTGTGTTGAAGACTACAGCTGGTCATACCAAATATTGACTTTTAAGCTCATTACAAATGTACAAACCCTTATTTTGTCTTAGATTTTTTTTTAATAAATGTTGATCTTGTAATGTTTGTTGCTGCACCTATTTCCTGTTTTCATAGCAAAATATGGAGAAACAAAGAAATGAGGTACAGACTTTTGCACTACTGTAAATCCATACCTAATCTACTCAGCATTGGGGGAGTATCGTCCACACCTATATCCTGTCAAGTGAGCATCACAGTTGATTCTGTAGGTAAAATAGAGAACTCCTTTGCGCAGCTGACAGCTTAAGGAATGAATTCCTCGCTCTGGAAACACAATACACCTCCCTGCAATATCATTGTAAAGCACATCCCTATCCCAGACTTCAAACCTCAACTCCTGACCCAGTTCCACTGAGCCAAAGTCATAGGTGGCATTCCATATCGGGTCATTGTCATCCATCACCGTGTCAGTCTCTTCATATATGCCATTGTAGAAGATCTTCACATAGGCATCTGTTTTCGTGAAGGTGTCTGCCCTCAGGCCTGCAGCTCTGTGAATCTCCAGTTGGAGAGTTCCTCTACCAGCCCTTAAAGGGCAGCAGTTATGGTCCAGGTTGGGAGTCGGTGAGCAGTTCTTGAAACCAAGTTGGTCTTCCTTCAGCTGGTTCTCTTTTATGTACTCTGAGACAGTCCTTATCAGATTAGCGCTGATTTGTGAATCCTCCACCAAGTGATGCAGAGGGAAGATGGCATAAGAAACCACATCGGGGTTTTCATGAAGGCTGTTCATCCAGCTGTGGTAGGCTTCAGATGGGTCCTGCTGGTAGAGGATGTCAGGGAAGTACCTCTCTCCTCCAGTAACCTCAATCTTATGGGTCATGAAGCCTTGGTAAAAGCCCATGCTCATGTTGCCTTTAAATAGGCTGTCACACCTGTTGGAGAAAGATACATTGGCCGGGAGGAAACCCAATGCCATACGGAGTTCAACGTTCAGGCAGTTTTTGATCTCTGCCTCTGAAAAGCCCTTCAGGGTGGCCAGGCAGGTCCTGAAGGCAGTGATTCGCCTCACCTTACCACCGAGCTGGACCTAACACAAAACAGTAATAGAATGCATTATAACATCACCATTATTTTGCACCCGAAATGCTTTCCACAGCCTACATATTGCAGCATTAAACCCCTGTGTATCCAACAAGTTTCACTGACCTGGTGTATATAGTGTGTTCCATAAGTGTCTATTAGACGTCTGTATAGGGCTCTGTTCTGGCTTGTGTTTAAACTCTGTGGGAGTCTCTTGAGATGCTTTGTGAACTCTGCACTCAGCGGTGGATGATCAGCCAGCCTGTAGCTGCAAAAACAAAAGGCATGTGGAGTTCAATCATGAAACAACAGCAATTGAACCTTGCTTTTCTGTAAGAGGGACGATAAGCAGCTCAGTCCACTGAGTCCAACAATTCCAAAAGTAAACATTTCTCTCACATTATAATCGAGGTCATCCTTTCAGTTGTAACACATACAACTGAAAGGATGAGCCTGTGTTGCTTTACCTGTAATAGGTGCAACTGATTTCATGAATGGCAAAAGTGGCTTTGTCCACACTGTGCTGCGAACGCGCAAACTTTGCCAAATCTGAGCGGCTTCCTCCCAGAACTGCCTTTCCAATGTTGTCAAGGCTCAAACCCAAATCCCAGTTGTTGTTAACCAGCGAGTTGGAGCTGCGCAGCAGGGAGTCCACAGAGTGGTGAAGTGCACTGGAAAGCTGCTTAGAGCAGCGGCTGAAGGGACGCCAGTCAAGCACTGAAGCTGGGAGTCTCTGAATCTGTGGAGCAGATGAAAGGCAGGAAGTGGAGCGGGATGCAGGTGGTGGAGGAAAATATAGGAAGTTGAGGGGGAGGAAAAATGCAGGAAAGTACAGAAAAAAACAGGGTGAAGGAATGAACTTGAGGCTGATAAAGAGTGTGAAGGTTAAGTAGTAGGTTTCATGTTTTCACCTCTCCTTTTTGGAATCGGTTCGGACACAGTGTGCAGGTGTGGTTGTCAGCTAGGTGGGCTTTGACATTGATGACATATGCTCCTGTCCGACGCATCCGCACCACGTCAAAGCCTTCTCCAGCCAGATTGTGGCCTGGTACAAAAGGAGCTTTCTCACACTGGGACCCTGTGCCACTCCGACAGGCCTGGACACTGCAGTCTTCCAGCATAATTGGCAAAGCCAACATAAACAGGAAAATGTGTCTCTGCTGGTATCCTCCTGCACACATGGTTACCTAAAGGTACAGTGAGGGATAAAAAAGGGAGTCAGTGGATATTAATGGTTACTGTGTATAAGCACATTTTTGTAACTGAGTTATTTTCCTTTGAAATAAAGAAAATGTGATTTTTTTATATTGCTGTAAATGCAGATGAGCTTCTAATCCTCTTAAATATATAAGCTGTAATCAGGCCACAGATATTTTGTTAAAGCTGAGAATGTGCACATTGGTGGCATACATTCTTACCTTGTCCTAGCTTTCTTTGTCCTCTACGTTTCGTTGTTGTCCAGTATTTTTTCCACAGCCAAAATAAATCTCTTGATTTTAAGTCCCCCTCCTTATTTGCACCGTTGATTGCACAGCTCGCTGTGAACAATGGAACCTCAAGCTGACGTCTCAATCCTGCTGGAAATAAAATCACGGTTGGACGAGCCTTAGCGTTGCTGAGAGGTTGTGCTGGAAGCCTGCTGCGTGCACACTTTGGTCTATCATCTGCCTTTTAAAAAAAACATGGAGGGAGTTGCCTGGCTATGCTGCTCTCTCCCTCTCTGTCTCTCTCCCTCTCTACCCCAAGGCCTTCCCAATTTCCTCAGCATGAGCGGGTTTGTTTTTATTCTCAAGACCCAGTTCTGTAAATCCCTCACAGCCCTGTATGTCTGTGCACGTGCATGTGCATTTGTGGGGGAGGGAAATTTTGTGTAGTCACGAGAGAAAAGATGAACAGTGGTCTGAGCAGTCTTTACGGGAAATGGGCGTGTATTTATGTATGTTTGTACATGTGAGTGTACAGTGCACGGGTGTATGTCTGCTGGACTGAATCTGTGCTTTCGTTCACATAATGTCTGAGCTGGCCTGTCTGTGTGCTGATAACCTTACCAAAACCATGAGCTCAGCTTTGCCACTGTCTATTTCTGGATGTGGGTGGCGTGTTTGTGGTTTTTTCTCAGTGAGGACAAAGGAGAGAAACATGTCTTTATGCAAAAGGTTTCATTCAGTGTAAGAGGTATTCAGTTCATATTTGAATAAAGAATATTTTGTGTGGTGCCACAGATTTATGCAAGTTTTCCTAGTGTAAGTTCCCTTCACTGTTAAAATTTTGTTCTTTACACTATACAAACTATAAAGCAGGTATACTATAAAGTTCCAGTTAAATATGCTTTGTATCAGGTCAAAGATCTAGCACAAATTCATTTGTTGTATCATGAAAAAAATTCATACACACCCTGATCTAGGTAAGTCTTTTGTGAGGGCTGTTTCTTTGCTGACCATGACAAAGTATAAAGTAAAACTGAATTAAATGTTTTATTTGAGGCAAATGTACAAGCAAGATCTGACCTTGATCTCTCTAATAATCCTGTGTTTGTTTTAATGTCGGCCTTCACTGATTACCCCGTCCCAGATTCACATGAACTCTGGCCCACAAGCACTTGAATTGTGATGGACACTGCTGTGTATATAAGATTTTTATCTTTCATGTTGTTTTAGTGAAGCACTGAGGTCCGTGGGAGCACTGCACTTTCAAGTTCCTGTGTATGAGCTGTACATATGTTTTGACAATAAAGCTGACTTTGACTTTGACTAATGTTAATGACTGATTAAAAATGGTTTGGAGTGGGAGTTGTGAACCTTGTTTGCCTTCTAAAGGGAGTCTACATGGTTAGAGAAATACCATTAATCAATACAATGATAAAATAAAGACTGATCCATATAATGTCTGCTATGCTCTAGTGCACTTTCAGAGTCACACCAGTTTTTATAGTAGGCCTTAGAGACAGAAAGTATCAACATTTAAAAAAAAAAAAACATGTGATACTTTAGATTTGTACTCCAAAAGATTGATTTTGTTCATCTGGACGTAACGTTTTCAGTGGGACAAACATTTTGTCACTAATTCAGCTGAGACTCGAGAATTCATGAATCTCAGCTGACTGCAGGTTTCCCCAACCTTGAAAAAAAGTGCATTTGCACAATGAAACTAGCACCCGAATGAACAATGGGCTGTGAGGTGAGTTCCTTGATCATTAATGTGCAAATTCTCATGACCATTGATCAACAACTACTGATCAAAGTGGTGCTAGTTTCAGTCATTGTGCAATGTACTGTTTATAAGGTAGTCAGCTGAGGGTGAAGAAGTCACTTGGATGAGTGATGAAACATTTCTCCCACTGAAAACACTACGTCCAGATGAACAGAATAAACTATATGGGAACCAGGTATTTGTCCAATTAGGCTCGTTAAACTCTAGTTTCTGTTTGCTTGTGTCCACTTTTGGCTCCTTCTCCCGCACTCAACCACAGGGTACTATATAATACAGCTGTAGCATAATATTTGCCTATGAAAATCATTAGGACCTGTCAAAACATGTCCAGTTGCAAGTAAATCAAACCTCCATTGAGTTAATGAGAAAGACACATCTGCTAGTTCTTCTTGCTGGAGGACAGCAAGAAGAATTTAGACACTCTCAAAGCTCATGTTCCCTCTGCTAAAATTGAAACAGCATCCTCCAAAAGAAGTTGCCCGGTTTTGTGCCAAGGTAGGTATCCCCAACAGAAAAATTTCCCCTGCATCAGGAGCACGCAGCAGCTGTCTAAATCATGGACAAATAGTATCTCACATTCTTGGTTTTTAGTTCACAAACACTTCTTAAAATAACTTATTACTCCAGACATTTTTGAGGTTTTAGCTCTTAATACAGTAAAGTTAGGATACAAATAATTATCAGGCAATTATTTGTATCCTGTGTGGTGCCACAGATTTATGTCTACAGTAGTTTTTGACAATTACTGTAGACAAGGCTTAGAGTTAGACCAGTCTAGTTCTTACTTAAGTCGACTTTAAAAAACCATCTCATAGATCTTAGTAACTGGTCCATGATGCAAACAGCATCTAAATACAAAAATAATGATATACTTTGTATTTAGACATTGTGAAATTACAAATAAAGTGTTCTTCGTTTATGAATTATACACGGTTTATTGCAAGCAGTGTGAAAATCATACACAAAGTTCTTTTATTGGAGCAAAAATTGAATTAATATAAAACATGGCATGTGCATATTGACCTCAAGGGGGAGCCGTTGGGCTTAATGTTAACTTTGAAAATCTCTTCACCTTCTTTTTTAAAAAAAGAGTCAAAGCATTTTTCCAGAGCTATAGTATAACAGTATAAAGTTCTCGAGTACAAAACACAAAAAAACAAACTGAAAAGGCTGATCCAAAATAAAAGCTCTTAACATTTTTCAGTGCTGTAAGAAGCATAACAACCAATAGAGTCACATTACTATAATCTTTGTATCTAGTTGATCAAGGTATTACGTTCTTATTACATCTTGTTGTGTATCCATTTCAGCCTCTTCAGGTATTTTCTCATAACCTCTCATAGTTCTAAACCCTGACATCCTCCTCCACCCCAAAAGCTACACCTGCCTTTTCACCACTAGACATCTGATTCAGTTTAGGATGAAGATTTTGAATAAATTCCTTGATTTCTTCTGGTTTTGCAAGTTTCCACGTCTTGGTCTGGCCCACTCTCACCCAGCTGTTTTCTCCTTCAGTCATCACCATCACTGTGTTGGTGGCTTGCATGCTGATAAGTGGAGGTTTGGTGAACGGAGGCAGATCGATGGGATTCAGCTCCCCACCTGTGAACAGTCCAGACTGAACACAGTAGAGGATTTCACAGCCATCACTGATTGCAGCAAGGTGCTGACTAAACTTGGGAGGGCACCTGCGTTGACTCCTTGCCAGTGGGTTGGTTGACTGACAGCTGAAGAGACCTCCGAATGGTACTGAGAATCTGGTACCTGTCTCATAGTCATTACTCATACAGATTACCTCACCATCTGAGAGGAACTTTAGCGGAATAAAGTTTGGAGGACAGCTTTTGCTTTTCGTGAGGGGGTTTGGGAGATTGGGGTTGTAAATACCTCCAAACAGATACCCTGAATTTTCTGGAGCCCTTCCATTTACGGAGCACCAGTAGGTGTTGATGCGAGCAGAGCGAACATAGGTGTTGTCCCGACACCAATGATCATAACAAGTTGACATGTCAAAAAACCCACAATCATAGCTACGTGTATAACATTCATTCTTTGTTTCAGTGACATGTCTCAAAATGTTGAAACATAAGTGTGACAAGTGCAATAAATAAGGAAGAGGAAATAAGAAAACACATTTTCAGAGTGCTGTACATACTCAAATATAGTGGATATGAAGACAGATTACAATCCTGTAAAACAGGAGAGATAACAAGCTGAGGAAACATGCTGCTGTTCGCCAGAATGGCAAGTTTAAGACGGCTATGCGAACAACTGAGTTCCAAGGCACTCTGCTGCCCTCTACTGCCAAAGTGACACACATTCACTTGCAACACTGTTTATTTACTGGTATAATGAGGTTCACAATGTGAAGCATACAAGATTACCTGGACAGGTTGCCAATCTGTTGCAGGGCTAACACAGAGTGGCAGACAACCACTTACACTCACATTGGCCAGTTTAAAATCACCTCCACTCCAATCAAACTCCACTGAGAAAGGCCAGATGATGGATTAGACATTAGGACCTTCTTGCTGTGAGACAACAGTGCTAATCATCGAGCTACCTTGGTCCCCCAGTCATCCAGCCTTCACATGTGAATGACATTTGATTAATTTGTGCACTAAAGGATATGTCCTGGTCAAAAATGACTCCAGGCTGTTTCACAGTGCTACTGCAGGTCATCCTGATTGAACATCAAGTCTGACATTTTTAGTGAAATGCAATATCCAAGTATTTTTGTTCTTTTACATGCATGGATATGGTTTAACCAATATGTGTCATCGGGTGATTAAAAGCTCTGATGACCCTTTGTCAGTGAGCTGAGGGAGTCAACAGGCAGCTTGTTGGGTTTACTTTGACATTATAAGACTTTTTTAAGTTCCACGTCCACACTACTTGCCAGAACACTCATGCATCACCTAATGGAAGGCTAAATGAATCCCCATCATTGGCAACAGGGTGTGGAGATGTTCTATAGGTGGAGTGTGAATGCTATACAAACCATCTGGGACTCTCCACCATTTGACCCTAGAACTGAAGAAGCTTCTCAGATGAGAGGTGAAACGTCTTCAAGCAACTTAAAGGAGTCCAGACGCTTTTCTTTCCAAGCTCCTTAGACTACGATGACCTGGATAACTGAGAACCTTCACAGACATATTGCCGTTATGCGGTTATCCTAATTGGGCGTTTATAAAGTCAGCAAAGAGTAATTAGTAATTAGATATGTTACTAATCTCCCTGTGCAATACAGCAGCTGGACCTTTAGCTAGCAACACACTGTGCAAACTGCATACAAGCAGTTTGTTTCTTTACTGATGTTTGTTGAGCTGATGGCTAGCAAGATACTGAAGTACCGCAATTTATGGACACCTGCAGTTGTTCCGGTGTTCAACAAAAAATAAATAAATAAAAGGAAAAAGGACAAACATCCCCACTTAAACCCCTGACTATAGCACTCAGTTTTGCCTCTTTCATCTATTTTTATGCAACATCCTCTGGTGATTAATACAGGAACAGGATTGAGTTTCATGTGTTACTTTTAGGAAAATTAGTTTGATGTTTAGAGGCCCACAGTGACGAAATAATAACGCAAATGTGTC